TGTATCCAAATTTAGTTTCCATTCATCTTAATTAATTAAACATTTATTGAATACTATTTGTAAGTCAGTGTCCTAAATACTGCAGATACAAAGATTAAAAGAAAGCAGTCCCTGCCCTCAAGGAGTTTATGTTCTATTGTTCTGAATCCAACATCTCTATCCATATAGAGAATAGCATAGAAGAAAATATAGGGCAACTTTTTCTTCACATAATTCTCATCCACAGACTTCGAGGGAAAGATGTTCCTGTTCCCAAAACTATCAGCTGATTCCTATGTGACTCTGATACCACTGCTGGATACACAGCTACAGAACTCCACTGTGTGCCTGTGGACCTACACAGAACCGCTCTGTATTCTCCTATACCACTCAAGCTTTGGACAATCAGATTCTCTTCAGGAACAGATTTGGACAGTATGGTTTGACTGTCAGTGGAAAAGAGGTTTCTTTCCAGGTGTTAGGGCATCCTCTTAACCCAATGGATATCTGTGCCACTTGGGAATCAGCCTCAGGGGTTGCTGAGCTATGGGTGTATGTAAAACCACTGATGAGGAAGGTTTTGAAAGTAGGATACACCTTGAATGTGCCAAGATCATTCTGGGGCAAGACCAGGATTCCTATGGGGGTGGGTTTAATATAAATCAGTCCTTTGTTGGAGAGATTGGGAATGTGTGTATGTGGCATTACGTGCTTCCACCTGAGGAGATGAAGGCCAACTGTCATTGTGGCAAGGTCTTAAGCTGGAAGAACCTGAAATATGAGAAGCATGGCTGTGTGTTTACCGCTCCCCATCTTTGGGTTTGATTCTCACTCTCCTCAGGGAATGTGGACAACACAATCAAGATGAATTCTCTGGAGTTATTATACCCTTTGAGATTAAAAGCATTGATCCTTGGTTTTGGGTATTTCTATTGCTTTGCTGACTCCCCAAGGGATACTCAGATACTCTGGATCAAATCAGAACTTGGGGAATGGCTTCTTCTCTTTATAGACTAAGTCAATGCTTTTCCCAGGTTGAATTGAGCATGGTCTGTGAAAATATACTGTAGTATCTGGGTCTTGGTTGGGATGCTTTCAGGAGGTAAAAGCCAAATTCTGGACCTTTCTATTACAACTGATACAGGAAAGCACACTAATCTCAGAATCCTTCCCCTATATCTTGGGTTCAGTCATTCTTGAGGAGATGATTTCTAAATCATCTGAGTTTGAATCTTGCCTCATACATTTCCTAGTTCTTTGACCCTGGAGGAAGTCATTCACTATTTAATTTTCTTGATCTATAAAATGAGAGGGTTTTTTCCCTTCCAGTTCTAAACTGATGATCTTATCACTTTCACTGGGGGCTTGGGAGATTGTCAATGATCATCACGAGGGTGCTGACTAAAATGCATGTGACTATATATTTCTTATGTATACAGTCTGTGATTCAGAACCGCAAGGATACAATTTGTGTGAATAAGGTATAATCTTGAGGATGTCCTCTTAAGATATTCTTTCTTTTGCTTGTGTTCCTCCCACCCAATGTTTCCTTTGTGAAATATCAGAATATAGTTAAAATATGGCTTGTATCTAGATCTCCAAATAATTTTGTGCTCCATTAGTAGCACTAAGGGTACCAATGTACATAGCTGGTATATGTCAGGGTTTATTCCACTCTATAAAAAAATGAAGAAAATTCATATAGTTGTTGGAAGTTCAGTGGAGGGGGAGGAGGTTGGAAGATCCCTTACTAATAGATTTCTCCCCAGCCCAGTTGATGTGAACACAGAAACTAAGGGGAAGATGGCAAAGACAACAAGACAATAATGTCCTAAGTACGAAGAAGTATTTTCATTTTGTTACCTATGAAGTGGAAAGGAGTTCTACTTGGTGGAACTGAAAGGCATCTTTCCATTGGCTAACAGAAGATCAGCCACATTTCCAGTGTCCTTTGGGGAAAAAAAGTCAGTAGAAGTTGTTAAGTCATGGGGAAAATGAGAGTTTTGAAGATTTGGAGTCCTGGGAACAAAAAAGAGAAGAAGCTATGGTAGAGAGGACCCCTGTAATCATGTTGCTTGTGAGTGGGTGAGTCAGAGGAAATTTCTTTCTCCTCTCCTTTTCTCCATTGGCCATGGTGCTTTTCAGTGAAGTCACTCACCCAATAGGAGCCCAACATTACTCTTTTAATCAATGTTCTTTTGTTAGATATTCCTATCTGTTTAATGATCCATTATAGAATTTTCCAAGGAATTCAAGTCTAGCAGAATCTGTTCTCTTCCTTTTTTGAAAATAGGGACAACATTTGCTTTACTTCAGCCTTCTCCAATTTTCCATGCATTTTCAAATTTCACTGGCAATGGCATGGTAATCACAGCTTCCAGTTCTTTCGTACCTTAGGATCTATTTCATCTTGGAGGGGTGATTTGAATTCATGAAAAATAGATATCCTCTTGCAATCACCTTACTTATCTTGAGTGTAACTCTCTTTTAGCTGTTTTTGTTCTGTCATTTCCTTTTCAAATTCTTTTTGGAAGAGAAGCAAAATTAAAATTGAGCAACTATGCATTTTCTCTGTTATCATTTATCATTTTACTATCTACCTGAAGCAGCCATTTCATCCCTTCTTTTATTCTACTCACTGCAATATAGCTAAAAATAATCTTTTGGTTGTCCTTAACTCCCCTTGAAGCTTGAACTCATTCTGATCTTGAACATAATTGATTTTCATTCTTATAGACTCCTGCCTTTTATAGACTTGTGATTTTTCATTAATTCTCTGTTACCTGCTATTCATTTCATCTTCTGTACATACATTTTAAAATAAACAATGAAAAGATTCAGTGAGGTCCTTGATCATCCATATTAGTCTTGTGAGAGAAAGAGAGAGAAAAATAAAGAAGGAACAGGTAAGTATGTGGCCCATGATTGAGAGAATATATTTTGCAATAGTCTAGATTGGGAATAGAAATAAGGATGTATACAAAATAAATGAACGTTCTTGGAAAACAGTATCATCAATAAATGTCACTCAGGTTAAGAGGTGGGAGTGGGACAGTAAACCACACTATCATCAAAGTTAGAAAAGAGAAAAAACAAAAATTGTGGGGTCAGTGGGAAATGAATAAAAAAATAGGGAATAACAATTCAAGTCAAATGAAGGAATTTGGAATACAAAATACCTATGAGAAGATATATCTGACATTTGGACCTTGAGATTATATGTCAGAAAAGGCTGGGATAAATCTAATGAAAAAAAATTAATCACAGGGAGAGAATATTAAATTAAAAAAGAAAAGAGGAAATTAATTCAGAAGATAAATAAAGGGGAATGTAAGTCTAAAATTACAACTTTAAATGTAAATAGATTAAATTTGACAAAAAAAATTAAGAGGGTAAGAGTGGATAAGACAATAAAACCTCAAAATTTGGTATGTACAAAAACTCATTTTAAAAACTAGAAACACAGAAAATTAAGTGAAACAGCAAAATAAAGTTTATTACTCATCAGATTATTTTAAAAAGATCTAATGATATTGTAAAAAAGTAAAATAAATATAAAATGAAATAAAGAAAAAGAATGAAGAAAAATCTACAGGTTCAAGAGAAATAGCCAGAGTAACTACTTTATGCATAAAGATACTATAGGCACAGAAACAGTATCATTATTAAACTTATTCATAACTAATATTATAACCTGTAAATTATTAAGAGATAATAAATTGCAAAAAAAGCAGAGATGATAGAACCATAATTATAGGAAACTTTAATATTACTTTCTGAGAACTGAATAAATTTAAAACTCTTCATAACCTTGTGCCTTGCTATTTTTCCAGTTTTGTTTTTTTTTTTTTTTACATCTTACTAATTCCCATGTACACTTTAATCTAGTGACAGTGGTCCCCTTTCTGTTCTTACCATAATATAGTCCTTCTTCTAACTCTGGGCTTTCACTGGTTGTCCTCCATGCCTGGAGCTCTCTCTCCTTCCTCCTTTCTGTCTCCTGGCTTCTCTGGCTTCCTTCCAATCTCATTTAAAGTCTCACCTTCTACAAGAAGTTTTACCCAATCTTCTTTAATCTTAATGCCTTCCATTTGAGATCATCTTTAATTTATCTTGCATATATCTTGTTTATAAGATATAAAGTCATTTGAACTCTATCTCCCCCAGTAGACCATGAGGTCCTTGAAAGCAGGGACTATTTTTTTTTAATTTCTTTGTACCCCTATGCACTTAGCTTAGTGCCTAGAACATAGTAGACACTTAATAATGAATGGTTTTTGAATTGACTTGAGAAAGAGAAAGAAAAAGGAAAATGCCAACAGACTTTTGGGCAAAGAATACATATATTTTTCGGCCTTACAATTTACATTTTGAAAATTGACCTACCTTAAGACAAAAAGAAACTATAAATAAATATAAAAAGAAATATTAAGTATCCTTTTCAAACCATAATGCATTTCCTTTGCTAGTAGTAATATTTTATTTGCTAATGTAAATATTACTACTAATACTAGTTACTAGTACTAATACTAATTACTAGTAATTAGTAATTACTAGTATTAGTAATTACTAGTACTAATTAGTACTAGTACTAATACTAATTACTAGTAATGTAAAATATTACTACTTTAATTACTAGTAGTAATAAAATATTACTAGTAAAATAGTAATTAATATAAGAAAAACAAATGGTGTAAAGCTAAATGGAAAATGAGTAATTACAAAGTGAGTAATGAGTGGCTCAAAACAAATTTGTTTATATTCAATTAAATAGACATGTATTAAACATCTACTATGTGCCAGGCTCTTTGCTATGTGCTGGGGATACAAATAAAAAAAAAGAAAAAGAGTCTTTGCATTCAAGGATTTTTACAATCTAATGGGGGAAGAAAACACACAAATTAAGTTAATTAAGGTGGGGGAGAGAGAAGGAGGGCACAGGAAGTGTGATTTCCCATGGAGTCAAAATCAAGAAGAACTAGTGATGGAAAATGCAGTTACCTGGAAAATTCTGATCTGAGGCCATTATAAAGGAAAGTTTAGGAAAGAGCTTATTTCTACATCCCCCAGCCCTCCAATCAGAGAGGAATGACAACTGAGGAAGTTCAGAAAGTGTTGGGTATCAAAATTGAATTAATCTGCATAAAGATGAGATTTCAGGTAGTAGTTTATCCTGGGGGAAGCCTGGTGTTTAATGATAGAGTTGAAACCAAGCAAAACTGCTGATAGAAAATGGAGATTCATTATAAAATAAGAATTATGTAACCATAGAATGATCACCTTATTATACATTATTTCCTTTTACACACTCTAGAGTCTGGCCCCAAAATGCCCTTCTCGCTATTTCTCACACAGATGCTCTTATCTTCTCTCCATGGCTCTGAATGGGATAAAATGCACTTCCTTCTTACCTCCACTTCTTAAAATCTCTAATTTGCTTCAAAGCTTAGCTTAAGTACCACCTTCTACATGAGTACTTTATTGATAGCCCCATCTACTAGTGCTACCCCAATTCCATTATTTTATATTCATATATTTATTTTGTATATACCATCTTATATACATGCATCTTGTTATCTTTAACTTAGATGATAGGATATGTTTCATTTTTGTTTGTGTTCCCAGAATCAGGGGCAGATTAGAATGCCAGACCTGGAGTCAGGAAGACCTGAGTACAAATTTGACCTTAGACACTCACCAGATGTGTGACTCTGGGCAAGTCACTTAACCCTTTTTGCCTCAGTTTCCTCATTAGCAAAATGAGCTAAAGCAAATAGGAAACCTATTATCTTTTCCAAGAAAATTCCAAAATGGGTCACAAAGAGGTGGAACCAACTGAAACTGAACAATAACACAAAAACATCCCCAGAATCTATCACAGTGGTTTACATCTAGTATAGGATTCATAAATACTTGTTGATGGATCGATTAATGATAACTATTATATAATATACCAGAATTTCAGGATAAAACTAAAATACTCCTCAAAGAAAAAGTTGTATCTCTGAAAACATGTATTAACAAAATAAAAAAGTGAAAATTAGCTAAAAATGTGATTTAAAAACTAGAAAAGCAACAAATTAAGAAAACAAAAATAAGTACAAAAAAAGAATTTTTGAAAATAAGAGTAGAAATGTATATCAAAAACAAAAACACCATAGACTTGTCTGATTTTAATGTATTGATACAATAATAATAATAAAGAAATACACAAACATTTGTGCCTTTATTTTTCTTTTTATTATTTTTTACACACTTTATTCATTAATTTTTAGTTTTCAACATTCACTTCCGTAAGTTTTTGAGTTCTAAATTTTCTCCCCCTTTTTCTCCTCCCCCCTCCCAAAGACAACATGCAATCTGATGTAGATTCTACTTATACACTCATATTAAGCAAATTTTTACATTAGTCATGATGTAAAGAAGAATTAGAACCAATGGGAGGAACTACAAGAAAGAAGAATTAAAACAAAACAACAAAAGAAAAGGAGAGCAAATAGTATGCTTCCATCTGCATTCATATTCTATTGTTCTTTCTCTGGATATGTGTAGCTTTTTCCATTGTGAGTCTTTTGGAGTTATCTTCGATCTTTCATTTGTGGCTTTCTAAGTCAATATGTAGCCACAGGGATCCTTATGTACAGATTAATTGTTCCTGTTTGTTTTCTTAATTAGTTTATATTTTTATTTTCTCTTTCTTATATCTCATAGTTATCCCAACCATTCCCTTACCCTCCCAGACAGTCATTCCATATGACAAACAGTATTTTTTCTCATTTAATTTTATTTTTTCACAATTGCATGCAAACAATTTTTTAAATTGGCATTTTAAACTTTTGAGTTCCAAATTCTCTCCTTCCCTTCCTTCCCAAACCCTCCTTGAGAAGGCTAGGAATTTAATATAGATTATGCATGTGTAGTCTTGCAAAACATTTCCATATTGACCATGTTGCAAAAGAAAACTTTACAGGCCAAAAAAAGAAGAATAATGCAAAAAGTATGCTTCAATTTGCATTCATATGCCATTAGTTCTTTATCTGGAAGCGAATAGCATTTTTCATCATAACTCTTTTGAAAATGTCTTAGATCATTGTATTGCTGAGAATAGCTAAGTCTTTCACAGTTGATCACCATACAATATTGTTGTTACTGTGTACAATGTTCTCCTGTTTTCTTGGTTTGGCCTACTTCACACTACATCTGTTTGTATAGATCTTTCCAAATTTCTCTCTACTTATTACACACATCATTTCTTGTAACACAGTAATATTCCACTGCATTCATGTACACAATTTATTCAAGCACTCCTTCATTGATGGGCATCTACTTTGTTTCTAATTCTTAGCTGCTGCTATAAGTTTTTTGGAGCATATTTTTTTCCTTGTTGATGGCTTCCTTGGGGTATCAGTCCATTAATGGAGTCTCTTATTGAAAGGATATGGCAATTTTAGGCACTTTATTTGCACAATTCCAAAGTGTTCCCAATGAGCAATGTATGAGTGTGCCTTTTTTTCTGCAAGCCCACCAACATTGACTATTGCCATTTTTTAAAATCATTTTTGCCAATTTATGAAGTATAAGGTGAAACTTCACAGTTGTTCTGATGTGCATTTCTCTTTTTATTAGTGATTTTATCAGTGATTTTTCCATGTGGTTGTAAATATTTTTTCAGTTCTTCTTTTAAGAACTTTTTGTCATTTCCTTTGACCATTTCTCTATTGGGGAATGGCTATTAGTCATATATTAATGGAATAGACTAGACAAGGGAGATTCAGAAGCCACAATGTTAAATAAAGTGGAAAATACAAGTTACTTAGGGAAAAACTCTCTGTTTGCTAAAAAAAAAATTGCTGGAAAAACTGGAAAGCAGTATATCAGAAATTAGATTTAGACTAACACTTTATATCACACTCCACAATTCATTCTAAAAGGCTATGTGACCTCAATATTAAAGATCATACCATAAAAAAGTAAACAGATACTATACCTCTCACAGCTATGGGCAAGAGATATATTTTTTACTAAACCAAGAAAGAGAGGCAAGAGGCCATTACAAGAAATAAAATAGATACCTTTGATTATTTGAAACTGAAAAGCTTCTGCACAGACAAAATAATTGGATCTAGAATAAGAAAGGAATTGATAAAAGAGGAAAAAAAATCTTTGAAGCAAAGATTTGTATAAAATCTTTGTATCAAAACCCTTTGATAAGGGTTTTATGCATAAGATATATAAACAATTTTACATATATACATACATATGCATCATAATATACATATGTAAACATATATGGATGTGTATATACACAAGTATAAGTGTATACACACACACACATATATTTTATCTAATACTAGGTTATTGAATTTTATTGTTTCTGAATCTCTCTTGCCTAGTCCATTTCATTTATCTATCTCCCTATTCTTTAATTAATACCAAATGAGGGGCAGCTAGGTGGTGCAGTGAATAGAGCACCAGCCCTGAAGTCAGGAGGACTTTATTCACTCCTGCATTTCTATTGTTTGGGGGTATTCAGGAAGCAGAGAATCTCTTCAATTTTGATTTTGTTTCTAAAAGTGTTTCAAACTCTTCTTTGTTATTGAGTGTTCACCTTCTATTTCTGTACAGTTAAGCTGAGATGTGCAGAATAGGTCACTCTGGGCTGCATTCTGAGCTCCAATGCCATCCCATCCTCCTTTTTTTTTAGTGGGTAGGGAATAATCTTGCATAATTTGAATGTTTTTTTCTTTGTTTTTGGAAGTCTTTCTCCTGATGGCTTGTAGAATTTGTTTTTTTTTTAAATGGAATTGTTACATTTAACTACTATGTTTCTTAGAGTTTGCAGCCTTGTCCCTCCCTCCACCCCAGAGGAAATCCATGAATTATTTCAATTGGAATTTCATTTTCTATGTTCAGAAGTCATGGGCAGTTCTCTTCTATTAATTACTTCATTATTTCTTCTTCATTTTTGTCGTGTTGTGTCCTTCTAGGAGACCTATGATCCTTTGTGTATCTCTAGGCATCCTGTCTTTGAGATCCATATGTTTTTCTGGAAAAGTGAGCATATTTTCTTTTAACATTCTTGCTTTTTGCTTCTTTTCTTCTAGGTTGTCCTTCAGTTCTGTGTATTTGCATTCTCAATCTGTTGTTCTTTTGTCTGATTGTTTGTTTGTTTTTTTGGTGAAGCTTGTCATTGCAGATTCAAAATTTTCTATTCTGACTAACAAAAAACACATGATTACCTCAATAGATGCAGAAAAGGCTTTTTTAAAAAAAATTTTAAGATTTTTTTTATTTTTAACATGTGTTTTTAAAACTTTGGGTTACAAATTTTCTCCCTTCCTCCCTCCCCACCCACCCTCATTGAAAAGGCAAGCATCTCAATACAGGTTATAGATGTGTAGTCATGCAAAACACTTCCGTAGTACTCCTGTTGTGAAATACTAAGTATATTTCCCTTCATCCTATCCTACCTCCCATTTATTCTAGTCTCTCTTTTGACCTTGTCCCTCCTCAGAAGTGTTTGCTTTTAATTATCCTCTCCCCCAGTCTGTTCTCCCCTCTATCAACCCCCTGCTCTCTTGTCCCCTTCCACCCTTATTTTCCTGTAGAGTAAGATAGATTTCCATATCCCATTGTGTATGTTATTCCCTCCTTAAGCCAAATCCTATGAGAATAAGATTCAATCATTCCCTCTCACCTTCCCCCATTTCCCCTCCACTGTAAAAGCCTTTTCTTGTCTGTTTCATGTGAGATATTTTACCTCATTCTACTTCTCCCTTTCTCCTTCTCCCAGTATAATATTCTCCCACCCCTTAATTTTATTTTCCAGATATCACCCCTTCATCTTCAACTGACTTTGGCTTTTTGGATCTCTTTTGCCATTTGGGTTAGGCTATTTTTTAAGATGTTATTTTCTTCAGTATTTTTTTTTGAGTCTCCTTTAGCATCACTCTCAGTTTTTCCTCTACTTCTCTTACTTGCTTCTCAAAATCCTTTTTGAGCTCTTCCATGGCCTGGGATCAATTAATATTTTTCTT